GGGGTGGGGGGGGAGACCTACTGCACCTTGACACTTGCTCTCACCGCAGCACCTGATAAGTGCAATGGAAAAACGTCTGGTTTCCTCCTGCATGTTAAGTGGTTTATATTCTCCTCCTCTCCGTGCAGCCTGTAGCTACAGTCTGCTACTGTACTGACGCTACACCCAGGTAATAACAGACAAACGGAAATGACAGAAAGGCAGGGGTGAGGCAGGGAGGGAGGGAGGGAGGGGGTGAAAAAAATAACACACATTGTCTCCTTTTGTAATGTGTATCTAATCTGCGCAGGAGATGTCATCTTTAAGTTGCCGCTGAACAAAAAATTAAATAAAAAATAGCATTTTAGAAATGTTCTTTCCCACTTGCGTTAATGTTTATCCATAACTTGAAGCATCTTCATTTTACTTCTTGCATGGAGATTTAGATGCAGGCTTTAATTTGCACAACAGAGGGTCAGATGAAAGTGGATATATATCTTTACTACCTCACGCATGGCCTGACAAGGAGCTCATTCCCATGATTTGTAAGTGGGTCTCTCCACTGAAAAGCATTAACAATATTCACTTTAGATAACGTATGATTCCAGGCCCTGGGAGAGGATGGGTTTCTTAGAAATGCTTTGTTAGCACTCTCCCCCTTGATAAATGATTTAGGACATGTGGCCTGAGACATCAATACAATCTCTGTTGTAATTAAAAAAGGTGCGCACCAACAATATTACACAGCTTTCGCTTTGTCTGTCCCTCCCTCTCTCTCTCTCTCTCTCTCTCTCTCACTCTGTCTCTCCCTCTCTCCCTCACTCACCCACCCACTCTTTCTCTCGTTGAGCCCCGGAGCAGTGAAGAGATAATTCAAAAAGCACTTGCATGGAGTGAAACATGAAAAAGGGGGACGTATGAAATTAAATTCTCTCTTTTCGCTCCATTGTTCTTTCATTTTCTCTCCTTTGTTACATAAATGCATAAAAGCAAGGCAAGCTAGATTCTAATTATGATTTTCACAATACTAAAAGATTTTTTTTTTATTAAAAAAAAAAAATGAAAGAAAGGTTTCACAAACAAAGTAGTCTGACTGTTCCAGCACTTTGTCAAAGTCAAAGTACTGCAAGTGCTGCATCGCTTAACTTCAATAAACTTAATCTTTTTCCATGCGTCCTCATGAACACTTATATAATAAAATAACTGAAAAATGACACTTTGATGTCCAAATACAGCTTTTTTACAACAAAAGATGTAGGGAAAAAAGGAAAATCACCAAATACTTTAGCTTTTATACTTAATCAACATTCGTTCTTCCTTTTTTCCCCACCTAAATCAGGTCTGAAGCAACAGCATTTCATCCAGAAAGCCACTGCGTGTCTTTGTTCTGTGTCAACACCAATATAGTTGGAGGCGGTTGGATGGCCTATCACCTGCAGCAGCACGCTTTGAGAAGACACCACACAAACCACCAAGTCAGATGGGTGCTCTACTGGGAGCCTTGTGGTGGCCATTTATGGTTTGGGGATAGAGAACTGAGGGGGTCTGTTGGGGTTAGTGTTGAGAGGTGGGATGTGGAGTCAAAAGAAGTTCGCTGAGGAATATGAAAAGTTTAAAACAAGTCTGAATCTGGGGTTAACATGTTTCCTGACTCGGAAATTCCCAACTAAAACCTTCAGTTGTATGGACCTTTCTGCTGTGCAGAAGAGGGAAGGTTCTCCTCACTGTATGGGTTAAATGTGTCAAGCAGGTATGGATGACACCAATGGGTGAGGGAGCAGGGGCGAAGGGGGGAGGAATGAATCTTACCCCAGTAGAGGGCAGTCTCTTGCCGTCAGGGTTTGGGCGCATGGGCAGGGAACTGTAGAGCCTCACACCTCGATCTGCAGCACCGTATCTGCTCTGGAGGGGGAGAGACAGAAAGACTTGAAGTATATTTTCTTAATTTACAGAGAAACACTGTAGAAAAAACACAATGAAAAGATCTAGATTGACATGAAACTTCTTTGCAACAAACTAACTTTCAAAGTTACTCACGTTTTACTGAGTCATCCAAAAAGCAGAGATCAATCAGAACAGTCACTATACATACTTGAGTTGTTTTTATGCTCCTCATTTTGTTTACCAGTGTTAGTTTCACAAATTTCCACCAAGTCACAAAGCCTTCACATGGGCTGCCATGTTAAATCACATCACCTCATGGTGATGTACCACACATAATAACTGGATAAGATTGGCTCATGCAGCGGCACTAATGGCACTAAGCTGTTGTGTTTGGTAGCCAGGGTTCCTGTGCACCGCTCTCCTCTACTGACTCCATCTTTCTATACATTACACAGCTGATAATTAGAGTGTAGTGGGTTCTAAGCCTGCCAGCTCCTCCCTGCACTTCCCCATGTGGGTTTTAGCCATATATCACAGCCTAAAGGAGTGGTGGAAAAGCCCTCAGTACTATAGGGGCTAATGATTCCCAAAAAGTGGTCCCTATCAGGGAAAGGCAGTGTAGCTCAGTGGGGTTCACACTGTGGCCCACAGCCACAGCATGAGTCCCTCCCAGCATGTACGTCAAATCGCATGTTCTTTATCTCATTCTTTGTCTTTATCTTTCTCCTCACTTCACTTTCAGCTAAACCTCAGAGCACATCTGTGATTGCTTGATATTCTGTTGTTCTCAGATTAACAACTCTCCTCTGTAACATCTGGTCAACAGTTTGCATGAGGTTTCAGTCTGATTTCTGCAACGATAACCTATTTTCTACGCATGTGTGTGTTAATTGATCAAATGAGCTACATCTTTGGCTCTCTTGTGTTTCGAGAGTCTAGTTTAGTGTCTGAGTGCTGCCTTCTGTCAAAATAAAAGCTGCGACTGGTGATGTGGAAACTGCTTTCTCATAAATAAGAGGATGAAACATGAATTCATATTTGGAAGTGACTATGGCTGCTTCCTGCTATGTATAGTGCATAATGACTTTGCCACACTCGATCCATACAGTCTGCTAATGAGAATATGATGCAGATTGTTGAGGGAGAAAAAAACACAGTGCAGCTATTTAGAACAAATGCCACATTATCTCTGCCTCACATACTTACTCTTTTACTTGCTTTCTTCATTTTAGGGTTAAAAAAAAAACAAAAACACCCACATGCAATCACACAGACACAAATACATTTAAGGGCAGGGCTTTGGATTGCTATGCAGTGAGACATGCAGTATTTAACTATATTTAACAACTGAGTGAGAGAACATCCCTGAACAAACCAAAACTGGCCCTGCCTTTCACTTCCAATCAGTCGCATGATGGAGGGAAACATGCATCCAGTGCACAAATGAGTAGGCCCAGCTTTTACAGTGCAGCTCCATAAACACACCTTTGCAGATTGTGTTTATGGGCCTAAATGCAGAGAGATTACCATGCAGTCAAACCCACAAAGTAATGTATGCAAAAGCTTGTGTAACATGCAATGCCTGAGATGTAGTCAAGCAATAGCAGGCTCAAAGAGCATGATTTATATCCTGTAAGTAGCAGTTCGTATAGATCAGTGCACTGTATGTGTTAGCAGTATGCTGATCTAACGGTGTGGGCTTATCACAGCCGTACACAGTGCAGGTTATCCCCCCAGTGAGAATACTTGCTGTGTAAGGTTTTGATTTCCTGTGCTCATTATGAAAGGTAAAAACGGATGAGTAGACAGCTGTGGCCATCTTGTCGATATGGTTTGCATAATGATGACACAGCATTATTAAATATAACGCTGCACCGTCCTGACAAACAAAATATTTAAAAACCAGCAAAACAGGCCTTCTGTTTGTTTTGTTTTTTTAAAACACATTTTTACAATATGAACTGTGTCTCCTTTATCCAAAATTAACTAGTTATTTGAAACTAGGGCTGAACCTTTAATCCAAATCAAAACTGCAATTCGAAACAAGGCAATTATCGAATCCCAAAGGCTGCAACTTGGGATATATGTTATGCAGCGTGACTGACACAGGATTTAAAGTGTCATGTCAATGCTTTAACAAATTCATGCCGTTCTCCATGTGTGACAGTCACACATCTGATGGTGTCTCGCGTGCTGACACTTCATCACGTTTTAAATCTGCAACACAGAGAATAATAAACTGAAGCCTCACTTAAAAAAAAACAAAAACACATATCTATATATATATATGTTTGAACATCTATAAGAAAAAATTAAAAATTGTACATTTTCCCAAATTGTTCAGTCCTATTTAATTCTAGGTAAAAACAAATAGTAATCTGACCTGATATGTGGTCTTAAACATCCTCTACTCTGACATTTCTTTTTCTGCCAGCCTTGCAGAGGAGCTACTGTACGCTAACTCCGTCTCTAAATGGAGACTTTTTCTTTTGAGGCTTGTTAGGTAGCTTGCCAGCATCACAGCTAAATGAATGCCTCGCAGAATTGCTGCTTTAGCCAGCGAAGGAGCCACAGTAAGTGAATGTTTGATATTTCTCCAGTGTGCCAGGCTAATCTGGCCCTGTGGCATGCCATTACGGGGCTAATAACAGCTGTCTGCGGCCTGGAGGGGACACAGGCAGGCCTCGCTGTGCTAACTGGCCCTGACAGACTCATTAGGAGTGCTGGCACCCAGAACAGCAACAGCCAAACTCCTCACATTTCCTCGCTGGCTCACAACAGTTTGCAAGTGCAAGAAGCATTGTTCTCTACACTTGTTCTCTGACACCTTTCTTTTGTTTTCTAGTCCTCACTTCAGAGGCTCTCGCCCTCATCACCCCTCTCTCACTTTTTGGCTGGCTTTGGGTTGCTGCGATATTTCCACCAAACCAGATGCTGCCAGCCATTTACCATCTCTACTCGACATCATGTTGAGTCTAACCTCTTATTCTTTTTTTTTTTTCAAAATCCTGCACACCCACACTCTAGTTCTAACCAAAATAGAGCAGAAGGCAGAGTTTTATTTTGCTCATCCTATTGCAATCTTCACAGAAAAATCAAAAGGTAAATAAAAGGATACGTAAATAAGTAACTGACTTCAATTTCTAAGTAACTTTGGTGATTTGCCACAGGAAGATGCTGCACCACACCAGGAAGAAGCTGGCATCCTCTGAACTTTGTATTAGTTACTGTTTCTGAGCCTGTTTGAGGACAAGAGGGACTTCCCCAGGCAGACAGCAAAAGCAAACATTGTCCTGTCGCCTGGCAGGGCTGAGCCAATCAGCACGAGCAGGCTGACAATAAACACAAAGAGCCAATGACGGTTGTCTGGATGTAAAACCATTAACAATAGGGGGAGGATATGCATTCTCACATGACTCAAAACAAACTTCTATGCCTGCAAACTGATTTACATGATTCTCTAGATGTCAGTTTCAGATTCATGTTAATTATTTTAATTTGAACAATTGAAAAATCCACAAGCACATTATTTAATCAAGGTCAGTTGATACATTGGTCAAGTTTTCAAGATCAAGTGTCTTATATGTTTATATTGACATGTATGGTTGCATATAAAAACTTTTTTTTGCCATATATATATTACACATTTTTTTTGTATATAATTCTCTCAGTGTCATCACCAGTGACACCATGTGGCTTATTGTTCAGCTGTAAAATAGCTAAACTCAGCTATATCTTTGTTACATGAGGTTAGCTTATGTTGTTTTTATGCAAACACAAAAAACTAAAATCAGGAAAAGGCTAATATATTGTTATCGGATTTTGCTTATTCTCAATAGACAATGCAATCCAGTATCTCAGGCCCTATTATCAAATAGACTTTAATTATCTTTATCTTCTCTACAAAGCTTGCCTAAAAGCACAGCAGGCACTGCAATACATTTTCTCATTAGATATCAACATTGGCTTTCCTATTTTATAGGCCGGGCTGTTGGGGCACCGTAAAGCCAAAGGAGCAGCTGTGGGGGTTTAGTTACCTGTAATGTTAGCTGTTGCATGTTATATTATTTACGCAGATCTGGACTTAATGGAACACATGTGCGTCTGAAACCGACATTCTTCCCAGATTAGCCGAAAGCCTGTACACATCAGACTCTACCAATGAGAGGAATGCAAGGCCTAGACGGGCTTATGGGGAAACCCTATCACTCATCTACAGTATACAGTGCTCACAACGTATGCACGCACGCACACACACACACACACACACACACACTACTGCATGTACACACAATCTGTATTTATACATTATGGAGACAGTGCTCCATACTGTATGTACAGTATGCACTCAACAATGCATGCACACTGACATCAGCAGATCAATAATACAAAACTCACTCTTTACAGCATTTCGGTGTTTCACTTCTCCCTTTTCGTTTCTGATATTCTGCTGATAAAACTCACAAATCTGTCAAATCAGTTGCACAAACATAATATCGGTCGGCTCTGGTGGTCTAACAGTCAGTAACAGAGTATGATTCACTTTTTCAGTGGTTTTTTGCAGACTTTAGTCTCAGACAAAACCAACTGCAGAGTGCAACACTGGTTTGCATATTGCATTGCGATGAATCATTTTCATCTTCATGCATTTTTCACTGAACGTGCTAAAATTTATTTTGACGACAGATGATAGCAGTCTTTCTACCGTGCTTTATTTTCATCTGTGATTCTTACACTTTGTAACTGTAGTATTATATTTTTAAACAAAGGCTGGGAATACCTCTTAGGCTTGGGAGGATTGTTTGTACTATAATCCTACTATAATTTCACAACAGCCTACTTTTGACTTTTTTTACACTCTTCAACTTTATGTTACTAACTTTTCTTTGCATAGACTTGGAAATGATTAACTGACATCTTTTGATGGTAATTTATCCACAGTATCTCTGCCACCATCTGTGAGTTCTAGCCTATAGACCTTGAAGACACCAGACATTTAAAGTGTTGTTTACTTCAAA